ATAAGTGCCTGCCTTGCAAGCAAGCAGTCGTGAGTTCGATCCCTGGTACCGATAAAAACGAAAAAGACAAAAATAAAAAATAAAAAAAAAAGAAATTTATTACCAACAAAATGTACCTGTTGGGCTGGGGACACAGCTCAGTGATAAAGGTGGTGCCCAGCACAAAAGGAGAAATTTCGCTCTCACAATTCTGACAGCTGGGAAGTAAGGCCAGATGAGGGCACCAGCAGATGGGGTGACAGGTCAGAGTCCGCTGCTGGTTTATAGGGGTGCCTTGCAGCTGTCTTCTCACACTGTGGACAAGTAGGAGTCGCTCCTAGACCTCATTCATAAAGACACAAGTCTCAGCCAAGACCGAATCAATTCCCAAAGCCCCGCCTTCTGACACTGTCATCATGGGGATTTGATTTTTAACATGAGTGGGTAGAGGGACTAACGCATTAGGATTATTGCATGTGTCGTGTATCTTACAAATTATAAAGCATTTACAAAAGTTGGGCAGTGTTTTCATGAATGTGCATGCAGAGATGTTGCTTTGGGGAAAGGCAGATCTGACAGAGTCCTAGATATTTCCTGCTTACAGTGTGGAAACCACCGGATCCTCAGCTCTACCGGGTTTTGACACCATTTGTTGTGAAAAGCAATGAAAGCCGCACCTTTGCTGACCTGCTGCAGAAGAGTGAGTCTCTCTTCAAATTAGTCTTAAGATTAATCCAAGCAATGCATTTAAAAGTGTGATCAAGGAGAGAGTCATTGTCCCTCTGGAGTTATGGATGGCAAAGTATGGCATGCTTGAATACTATGGGGAAAAAAGGGACAGATTTGTTCAGTTTTGATATTCTTAGAGATGTGAATACACACAATTTAAAAAGAAAATTGATGCCTCCTTTCTAAAACAGACATCTTCTGGAAGGAAATATGGGCCCATGTTGCTTCTTTCTAGCAAAACTCAGAAAGCAGTTCATTCTTTTCTGTAGGAAGTTGGCGCAACGAAAAATTATTGAATCCAGGTATGGTGGTGCATGCCTGTAACCCCAGCACTTGAGAAGCTGAGACAAGAGATTGTTACTAGTTTGAGACTAGTTTGGGCTACAAAGTAAGCTCAAAACCAGCCTTAACTGTATAACGAGATCCTGTCTCAAAAAAAAAAAAAAAGAAAGAAAGAATATTGAGTAATTACTTTCCTTAGAATCACTTAATTCTGGAATATAGATGGACATTTTTTGTTTTGTGTTTTAGGTCTTTATGAGACAAGGTCTCACAAGCCTGTATAGTTCAGGATAGCCTTGAATTTACTTTGTGGCTCAGGCTGGCCAGGAACTCACAGTGATCCTCCTGCCTCAGCCTCCCATGTGCTAGGATTATAGGCATGCACCATCATGCCCAGATGGAAATTTTAATAGCCATGTGAAAATATTTAATACTTCAATTTTTCCCTAGCTATGTTTCCAACTAATGGTTTGCTATTCAGAAGAGTGGGAAAATATGACCAATAATATTGACAGTCAAGAAAAGGAAAACTTTATCCATTGTTCCTCTCCCTAACCTGTTATTGCTCATATAGAGTGGTCTCTAAAGTTTAATAGCTAAGGAATTAATTAGAAATGCCTTTGTGATAGAAGTTGCTATTATTGAAGTAGTTTTTTTTTCTGACACAGGTTTTAAAAGGAAAATTATCATCAGGTAGTGAAATACTTTCTCAGCAGATCCTTTTTCATATTTCTCTTAAATTACCTGCAGTTTCTGAGAGTTTTGGACACTTTTCCATTATGTTAAGTAGATGAATGATCCAAAGGTGTTCCTAGTGTTTCTGAAAGTCCTGCCAAGTCATTCTTCTCAAACCTAAGACCACACACTAAAACAGATATTAAGATTTCTTGGTCTCAAGGTGAAGACAAATGATAAATAAGTCAAATAAAAGAAGATGGGGATAACTGATTCAGGCCAGTTCCTTGTCTAAAATGTTTTCTGAATGCAATCACCAAAAAGCTGTTTAATGCTCCCTAGACAGTGACCTGGCCTTTCTTGTAAGAAAAAAATTGTTTCAGAGTGACAGGCATAGGGAAAAGCATATGCAGGCCAAGAAATCAATGAACATAAAGAGAAAGTCAATGCCAACAGACACAGTGACACAGGAAACTAACAATTTAAACCTTAATGAAGTCTTTCCCAAAAAAGCCCATCACTGGACTCAGTCTCTTTAGAATCAATACGACTGACACAAATTAGACATCTGATAAAAAAATAGAAGGTGTAGGATGAAGTTTAGCCAATTTGAGGATTAGGGGTTATCTAGCAACTTAATTTTCAATTCTTATTTTGAAGGATAGAGAAAGCAGGCACATTCCTGAAGACCAGCATAAATGGCAAGCACAGACTAGAACTGGCAAAGCCTGATGAGAAGTACATCCATTTACATGGCTTTGACTCACAGCAGAGTAACCTGAGCATCTACAATTTAAATTTGGCTGAAGGTATAACTCACCGGTAAAATGCTTGCCTGGTATGTGCAAGACCTTGGGTTTGATTCCTAGGATCACAAAAACGATGAACAAAATAAAAAGCAAATTTCAATGTTGTTAAAATATCTCAGACATTAAGAAATGTAATATAGATGTGCTTTGAAAAATACCATTTTCAGGGCCTGGGGTTTAGTTCAGCGGCATAAATGTCTGCTCGGCAAACACAAGATTGTGAGTTCGATCTCCGGTACCAAAACAAAACAAAACCTACTTTCAGATCTCTAGTTACCGATACAAACCTGGAAAAATGTCAAGCAACAAGTTATATGCTTTGTTCATTTGCATACCATCAGCATGTAAAGCTGAGAACTAGATGGTTAATACCCATGACATTTTTTATAAATCAAAATGAAATTACACAATAATTTGTTTGCTTTTTCTTTTTCAAAACAAGCTCACACCCCATTTCCAAAGCATGTTATTCTGTTGCATGTGTGCTACTAATACTGCTGCGTGTGCATTCCAGGTGATAAACTTCATATCCAACACTGTCATTACATTCATTACAAAAAGTACATGGAGGAAGACAGAATTCCAAAGCAGTGCTATGCTAAGGGGATAGTACATAGGAAGAATGAAGCCAGGATAATATTTCTTGCTTGAATCATAGTGGGCAGTTTTTACTCATAACAAAATATACCCAGTGAAATAGCCATGGTGGTGCACACCTGTAATCCCAACATTCTAAGAGCTGTGGCCAGAGGATTAGAAGTTCAAGTCTAGCTGGGGCAACTTGGCAAGACCCTGTCTCTAAATTAAAATTAAAATTAAAATTAAAAAGGCTGGGAATGTAGCTCAGCATGAACGTCCTGGGCCAACTGCCCAGTACCACAAAAAGGTGAAGAAAAAGAAGGTGGAGGAGAGAGAAGAAGGAGAGATGAGAAGAAAAGAAAAAAATTTCAAGATCAACACTGAAATCTTCATACTCCTGGATATTTATTGCTACCCTATCCCTGCACCTAAACTTACCAGATAACCATCTTTTCCTGCCCCAGCCCAAGTACATTCTTACCACAGTCACACCTTGAGTGAGCAATTGCTCTCATGTGCTTTGGTTTAAGAGGCAGTAATTAATTTGGCCCAAGATTAAGGCTAAAACAATAACTAGAAATCCTTCTATATAACTACTATTCTGAAGTCTATGTTAATAGACAGCTGAGTTTATTAGAAATATTATAGGCAGTCAGACAGGTCTTCAAAGGAGCCAAAGCAGAAGACTAGATATGTTGCACCTCTGGAGGAGACAGACACCTCTGCTGAGGGCCAGATCCCAAAAGATAAAACAAATGCACCCACACCCTAAGTATAAACATCTGCGATATTACAAAGCATCAGTCATCTTGAGGAAGCCAGAAGGAGCCACTAACCCAATTTCCTATAGGAAAAGGCTCTATTTTGTATTCATGCCCACTTGCTACTTGACTCACTTCCCCATTCGATCCAGATTTAATCAATTTCACCTGAGCAATTACACATGCAATGTCATTGGTTAACCATAATTCTGTCCTACCTCATACCCATCTGCCTTGGGAGTTCCTGATTTTCCCTCACCTTGGGCCTGCTTCAGATCCTGGTTTTGCTTTACAGAAATTCCTAGAAAGGTGGGGTCCTCAGCAACCTACTGGTGACCTTTTTTCTCTCAAAAAATATATTCTACTTTTAATCTCCATGGTTCCTAAAAATCATTCTTTGATTTCAGAGAACACAAACTAGTACCAGACATCTAGTAGGTTGTGAATTTCTTTCCCCTATATCATTTGCACGGGTTAATTCATATAATCCTCATTGTATACCTAAGACACTGTTGTTCACGTTTTTCTAAATGATGTTAAGTCATAGAGAGGTTAGGCACCCAGCTCAAGAACACACGGCTAGAAACTGTGGCCGCTGAAATCGGAACCCAGGCAGTTTTAGCTCTTGTTCTCCCGTTTTAGAGGCCTCTATAAAAAAGGAAACAAAAACTGCTAGATGACAAATGATCTCTTAAAAATCCCCTATTTTACACTATTTTTAGAAATTTTTGGTCCCTTCCAGTTGGGTGTCTGCTGTTAAGAAGACACACAAACAGAAGATGGGCACGGAAGGCCTTCAGCGTGCTGCCAATCGCTAAGAATGTGTCCAAAAACCACGAGCCAGGGATTCACCAGTGCCCTGTTCACTGCGGTCTCTCCAATTACACACCTCACTTCCGGTTAGGCCTCACTTCCGGTTAGGCCTCACTTCCGGTTACCTTCCCCTGCTTTGTACACGTTTCCTGCGGATGACTTCTGGCCTCTCTTTTTTTACTGCATTAAAAACCCTTTATAGTTATTTTGTGTGGGTCAGAAATTACAGAAATTAGGCAGAAAAAGCCAACGGACAAATAGAAACAAACAACACAGCATTCCCCAAAAGTTCCCTGCCCTGAGGTGGTGGGGGGGACCTGGGCCTAAGACACCACCATGGCCTGCCATCTGCTGCACCACAGCTGCATCTTACCATCATCCGGAGGCCCCACGTAGCCTCTCAGATCCTGGACCCCAGGACTTGTGACTTGAGGCGAGAATCAATTCCCGCGGCCTTCTTCAGCGCCTCCTCCATGGCTTCGGAGTGCGAATCTTCTCCAACGTGGCCTCCACGTGTGTGTTCTCCTTGAGGTCACCTGCAGGGTCCCCCTCGCCTGCAGGACCTTCAGACACTTCGCATCCAGGTGGCCACCTCAGTGTGAACGTGACCTCGCTGTCTGATGACCAGCTTGACTCTTGCCTACTCCTCCACTTTTTTTAAAAATTAAGTTTATTGGTGCAATTTAGATATACATGCTGACTATGTTCATCATAGGGAATTTGTACCTGTATAGACACATCTTGGTACCTTTTTACCCAATGCCCCTCCCCTCCAGCCTCTCTCCCTCTCCATATTTATAAGACTTTGCTCCCATTATATCCTTTTCTTATTTTTTCTCATCCCTTTTCCTTCCTTTCCCCTCCTCCCTTCTGGCTCCCCAGACCTTTTGAACAATTTCTTCCTATTTCACAATATTTGTTATATATTTCTGTTCTCCTTTATAGTTTCATTTTCTCACACAAGAGAGACTGCAGTATTTACACAGCTATTTTATGGTAGCTATTTCCTGATTCTTTTTATCACATCACCTCTGAATGCTTATATAGCATTGTGTCACTTTTGAATAGATTCAGTCTCTTTCCCAGAAACCTTATGTCTTGCTTGAGAAGGTCAAGATCCCAGCTCAGGAAATGAGGCTTTGCCTCTGCTATTTGGTTCAGTGTGGCTTTTCAACAGGTCACTTCTAAATGTTCCTAACAAAGCAGAATGCAATGCCATTATCTTCTGTTAGCTGACAGTTTCCACTATTTTCTTCCTTCATTTTTGTCTTCTTTTCAACTATAGGACACACCAGGCTTGTCCCCGTAGCAAGCAGACCTAATTCACAGTCCACACTGCATGCTTCCAGCCAGGTCTGCCCTGTTTTTGTCTCAGGATCATTTTGCAGATGTCAGAAACTGGCATTCCTGGCTCATGAAAATGCTGGCACCTCTTGTTAATAAACACACATATCAAGCAACTCTCCCAAGGTTTTGGAACTTTCTTTGGGCTTCTCTTGAACTTCAAAAGCGATCCATTAACTTCATTCCATTTTTTTACATTTTCTCTGCTTCTTTACAATATCAACCAGGGTCTTTTTCTTTACATCTTTATAGGGGATGGTTATAGACACTTCTGGAATTTATAAAAATAATTTCCTTTGCATTAAGGCAAAATCCTTTGCTTGCCAACTCGTTAGAAACAAAAGTTATGATTCTAATTCTGTTTTTCTCTCTTCTCTTTCCAATCTTTACCTCATGCTCCTTTTATCTCACCTTTTCAATTTCTAAGCGTCAAGACCAATTTTCTGTGTTCCAGTCCTTGCCACCCTTTAATTCCACACATGCTCATGGCAGACTCAGCCCTCTCTACTGCTGTCAGGCACTGACTCTTGCTGAACAGGGCTTTCCTTTCCCTGATTGTGAAGAATTACACAGTACCAACACCTTTATCCATTCGAGGACATAACCTCCATGTTGATCTAATCAGATATGTTTTGTTTTGTGCTGTGGTATTATTAAACCCAGAGTCTTCTCATTGAGCTACATCCCTGGACCTTTTTTTTTTTTTTTTTAATTTTGAGACAAGGTCTGGGTAAATCACTAAGTGGCCAAGGCCAGACTTGAACTTACAGTCCTCCTGCCTCAGCCTCTGGAATTACAGGTTTGTGCCACTACGCCCAGCAGATCTGTAAAAACTATGCAGATCAGGCTGACCTTGAGCTCACTTTGGAGCCCAGGCTGTCTCCAACTCACAATGATTCTCCTGCCTCAGTCTCCCAAGTGCTGAGATTACAGGTGTGCACCACCACAAACCGGCTTACATCTGCTAAATTTGTAAAATCATGCTAGTAATCAACTTAAGGATAAAATAGCAGTTAAGAGACCAACTAGAAGGTAACAGTAGTGGTCAACAGAAAATGTAATCAGGGTCTAATGAGGCAACAGAAAGGCAATCTAGGAGATAAGATAGAATTAAGAGACCCTAAGACAGTGATGGTGAAGCTTTTAAGAGCTTTCACTGATAACAGCCCCCTGCAGCACACTGCCTAAGCAAGCAAAATGGCAAAATCCAGTGAGTGAAATGTATGGGATTGAGGGAGAAAAAGCCATATTGAATAACTCCCACATTGGGCTTTGGTGGCTGGACAATGTTGTCCTTTATGGAGAAAGAAAACAAATTTGGATGCAAACATGATTCAGTTTGGTAAACAGCCTTCATATAGAAAATAGCACTACCCCCAGTTTAATTCAGTTCAAAGTTAGCATGAATTATTCTGAGGCTTTAGAAGAGGAATTTGTTAATTTTCTGTTTGTCTGTGATACTCCCATGAGACAGTTGAAAAGGGACAATTGACAGAAATACAAATCTGGAGGCTGGTTCTGGGGCTCAGCATAAGTTTAGCATGTCCGAGGCCGTAGGTTTATTTCCCAACATTATAAAAAACAAAAAAGTCTAGACTTGTCATTGCAAAAAAAAGTCTGAAACACTGAAGAAAGATCTTGCCTATAAATATAGATTTATGTATATTAGATGCTTTGTGTCTTTCTTTTCTACCATCACTCAACTCCAAATTCACAATTCTGTACTGTGCTCTGTCAGGCTGGGACAAGGACCCTGTAACTAAGCTTGCCAGACTCTTTTGACAGCTGGCTTCCTGTTAAGTGTCACAGAGAACTCAGAAGCCAGGAGAACACACAGCCATCTTGTTCCTTCTTTTCTTTTGTCTAGTGTTCCTCTGGGCCCTTAGCCCAGATGCTACAGCTGGCTCCTACTTGGGCATTTCTGGCCCCCATCACCAATGACATCTCTGTCTGAGAGATGCCAGCTACCAGTCATAGCCATTCCTCCAAAGCTAAGCCCAGCCCATCCTCTAAGTTTCTAGTTTTTGACAACCTCAAAATCTCTTTTGTTTGACAATCACTTTTGTTCTCTTAGGACTATGAGTTGCCTCTGCTTTCTTAGTAATACCCTTCTGATCTGCTCAGGGTCCTCTTTTCATTCTATCTTCCAGTGCCTGTGCAAACAACTCCCTATATTAAATTCCTTCTGTTGAAAAACAGAGGTGCTGTTGTTGTGACTAGACACTGGCTACTATGTCCAAGAACCCTCCCTATTCTTAACAGCACTCACCCACTAGTTACAAGATGAAAATAAGCAAGCCAAGGTACCAGTTTCTCTTCAAAATCATGAACTATGCGCCTTTCTTTCCTCTCACACTCAAGACCACAATAAAAGGAAAGTATGGAAATTAAAAGACATAAACAATAACAGAATGAGACAAGTAAACAGCAGAGAATTTTAACAAATTTCTAGGAAATAGAAGATGAGAGACATATTGCTGATGGTGTAAGGCAGAAGAAACTGCGGCAGGAGATTAGGGCATGGAAAACCGGCAGGGTAATTGGCCTGACCTATCAGACATGGAGGTCTGTCCATGGCGGCCGGGGTGCAGGTGCAGAGCAGCTTTAGCTCTACATGGGACCCCCCGAGCTGATGTCAAAGGAGGATACAGAAGATGTGCACTGGCCTTGTGACCACTGTCTCCTTGCTCTTGCAGTGGCCTGCTCTACATGCAGGATGCACGTTTGTCTTCTTTACATCATCTTCTTCAGGGCACTTCTTTTTTGCTTTTCCTTCTTCTTTTAAACTTTAACAGTTTTTAGTTGTCTGTCCACTTCTTTGAACAGGAAAACAGCCTGGAAAGGACCATTGGTCACCCCAATAAAGTACAGCCTGGATTAGACCTAGAGAGGCTACAGGTCAGGACAGAGATCAAGTTCCCAGCAGAGTCCCAGGAAGCCTACAGAAACACCAAGGGCCATGCAGGACAAGACAGGGGGCCAGGCTTGCTATGGTTTAAATGTGATCCCTAAAGTTCCTATGTTGGAATCTTATTCCACAAAGAGTACTCTTGAGTTGTGGGATCTTTAAGAAGTGACTGATATGAGAGCCCTGCCCTTGAGAATGGATCAAGAGGCCACTATCACAGAAGTAGGCTCCTGATGAAAGGGTGAGTTCGGCCCTCTTCCTTCTTTGGCTACGTGATGTCTTCTCCCGGGTCTGAAATAGTGGTATGAAGATCAGTAGAAGAGCTAAGTGTCGAGCCTTTTAAAAAGTTGTGATGGGATATTTTAGCAAGCACAGCCTGTCTGCTTCTTAGGAGTGGAGCCGTCAAGACAAGCACAGTGAACATAGGAAAGCCAGCAACAAACTCATCTCCAAGCCAGTCTTTTGGAAAGAATCAAATGAAGCCCAGAATTTACAGAGGAAATGAGTCTGAGCCGCCAACGCCAAGCAGAGAGTGAATAGAGCTCTGCCTTCCCCATGAGACCGACCAGCTGCATTCCCCAAGGCTGGTGACTAGAATCACTTCCCTCCCTGGCAGTGAGGTCAGGTGAGGTCCACAGCAGAAGCTAGAAAAGCCCCAGCAATTCTGCAAGCTGGAGGGTGCAGGCATTCGAGCAAGAAGGCATTGAGAGAATAGTTTAAAGTCAATTGGATTTCACAAACACCTTCGAAATAATGGCTTTGGGAAACCAAGGTGGATCCCTGGGCCAGGCTGGTATCCAGTATGCACACTGGTTGGGAGCCCATTCCTGGTCTGTCTCCATTCTAGAAAGAGATGATCCCAGGAGCTTGTCATGTTTTACCACCCTCCTACAGCTACCAGCTCACTTCTACAGACACCCAGAGACAGACCCGAGAGGGAAGAAAGCCAGAGACGCATGGCTGAGGCCTTGAGGGCAGACAGGCTCACCAGGGTTGCAATAAGGGTAAAGAGCCAGAAGGAAAGCTATGAGAACAAGAGCAGAAACTGCTGAAGCCGAGATGTGACGCCTCTGGAGAGAAGTTCACCACGAAAGAGGATTCCAACTTCCCTGTGTGTCCTTAACCCCAATCCTGCCCTTATCAACGACCTTCTAATAGCCAAACTAGTCTTTGTTAAACTCTTTGTGTGGAACAAAAAAACTGTGTTAATTTTGATATTTTATAAGCATGAGAGATGGATTAGCAAACACACTTCCGGGTATGTCTGCTGGGTTACAGCAGCATGACCTTAGGGACTATATGCGGCCCCTGGGCCTTTGCCCTCTGGCTCTTCCCCTTCTCTGTGTCTCCAGATGCCATGAGTCCAGTCGCTTCTGCCATGAAACCAGCTAGCCATGGGCTGAAACCTCTGAAACTGTGAGCCAAAATAAATATTTCCTCCTTTAAGTTGTGGCTGTCAGGAGTTTTGTCCCAGCAATGGAAAGCTGGCCACTATGCAGTTCTCCCTTATGCTTTAAATGATTTCTTGAGCACTTACAATACAACGTAAATGTTATGTAAATGATCCTTTGATAGATTTGACATTTTAATTTTTTTTTTTTTTTGAGGCATGGTGTAGTTCAGGCAGACCTTGAACTCACCTGTGGCCTGAAACTTGTGGTGATCCTCCTGCTTCAGCCTCCCAAGTGGTAGAATTATAGGCATGTGCCACTAGGCCTGGCTTTAAATCTCATACTGTATTGTTGAGGGAATGAAGTCTCCATCGGTTCAATACAATTTTGTTTAGTGTTTTCTATTCACAGTTGTTTGAATGCATGGATTTGGACTCCACAGACAGAGAGTCATTGGTGAATCTTGATGATTTTAATTCTTTATGGAGATTTGTGGGACCGTGGAGGAAGACCACATTACACCCAACTGCTAAATCTATTTTTTCCTAAACCTAACTTTTAAATAATTTATTAAAGTATTACACTTTTTTTTTGGTGCTGGGGACAGAATGCAGAGCCTTTTACACAAGAGCCAACTGCTCTCTACCAGAGCTCCATCCCTCACTCTTGCATTCAGTTTATTAAAACTCACAAACCCCAAGAAGCTGGAGGCATTGCTTAGTGTAAAGTGTTTGCCTGCTATGCACAGGGTCCTGAGTTCACTTCTCAGCACTGCGGAAAACAACAAATCCTGTGCTTGTCCTCCTTTCCATTTCTATTCATTGTCCAGGGTCAATCTCCTTCAATGTTTTCAGTTTTCAACTAAAAACTGGCCTGGAATCTGGGCTCAAGTGATCCTCCTGCTTCTGCCTCCTGAGCAGCTGGGACTACAGGCTTAACACCAAGCCCAGTCTTCTTGGTAGTTTTTACTTGACACCCCTGGGTTAAAACGTCTCTGCTCTTTTCAAGTCTCTTCTGTGTTCTTAATGTTAGTCCCTAGCCGCACCCACCAGACTCCCATCTACCCCTCCTCATAGAGACCCACTGCTGTGAGGGCCCTCTGCTCTTTGAGGGCTGCAGCTCTGCAGCTCTGGAGCTCAGCGTCAGCCCTGAGCACGCTAGCAAGCCCACTCCACAAGCTCTTTACACCTGCAGCTCCTAAAAGGAAGAAGTTTCTCCTTATCCTACACCAAGGAGTAAGATACAGAGTAATATAATCAGTAAGAGGAGTGTATTCCGTGTTGGGGGATGGTGGGGGCAGCAGGGAAGAATGATTAAGGAAACCAGGAAACACTTTCAGAAAAAAGAAATAGCTTGGTACATGGAGAAGGCTTTTCAGACAGATAGAAAGGCCTGGAGATGGTAAAATCAGTTCCTTCTAGGAAATGCTTTCGGAATATAAAGTTCAAGAGGAGAGAATGTGACATATGAACCTTAACAAGGCTGGGAAAAGTCAGATGTTTCTTGTATACAAGGCTAAGTGCCTGGACTGCAGCCCAGAGTCCAACAGTTGAAATCTTAATGCCTTTACATACCAGACGGATCATACAAATGAGATCATATAAATGAGGAACAAAGGCAGGAGGTATAGGGCACTGTGGGAAACTAGGAAAATCATGTCCTTCCACATGGAGTGATTGGATTATTCTTATGCAAAAATGTAAGTCTACCATTACCAGAGCTCCAAGTTTTGTTTTGTTTTGTCTGTCTTTAACAGCAGCAGAAAACAGATTTTTCTATCAAACTACAGTTTTTAAATGTCTGCAACTATGCTCACAAGGTACAAACACACACGTGTGTGCATTTCAAAGCTGGTCTCAGTCAACAGCAAGTTTTTACTTCTTGAAATGAGGGAGTGACCTTTATAACATGGTAAGACAGAGGGGAGCCATGGTCAGAACTGCAGTTTTAAAGATCCCTCTGGTGGCAGGATGTGGGGTGGGCTGATTAGGAAATGGGGAGCTTGGACGTAGAGGGATGTGTTGCAAAGCTTTTGCAATCAATCATTGGTAGCAGATATACTGAAAGTCCCAACCAATGTACGACACTTGCATAATCGATCATCAGTATTCAGTGCAAAGGTCTCGCACATTTCTTACCAGAATTCTATCCCAAAGGACCACCACGAACACTCTTATTTGTGTAAATCTTGGATGTCCATTCTTTCAGAGATAGAATGAATTTATCTCTTCCACAACTTCCTTTTTCCCCTCTCTCATTAACACACTTGTCAGTAGTAATAAAAGGCGAGATTGCACAACTGGCTTTGGAAAGGCAGCTTGCTGGACCTCTACCCTCTGCTTCTGTGTTGCGTCGGGTGTAGAAATCATCAGAGAGATTTTCTGCAAATGGTTCCCACGTGCCCACATCGCTGAATGCAAAATAAACAGTGCAGGCCATGAAAACAGATTGCTTTCAGCAGAGCACTCCAGCAGGAAAATTGCCTACACATGAGCCTTATGTATACAGTCTTTAATCCATTAAATTAATTTTTTTAAAGGAGAAAATGGGGAAAGAGTGGGGCTATCCATCTGTTTTTCCATAACACCTAATACTCCATTCCTGTGAGTGTACACACAGTCATGCGTTGCTTACCCACAGGGATACTTTCTGGGAAACGCATCATTAGGCGACTCCATCCTTGTGAGAACATCAAAGAAGGTGCTTGTGCAAACCTACATGAGATAGGCCAGTTCCTTAGCATCCCCTGATGCAATCAGGATGCGTAGTAAACACAGACAAATGAGGCTGACTGCAGCGTAACATAGCAAACTGTTTACAGTAAACATGTCTCCTAAGTAGTTCCCTAATGTAATGATAAAAAGTATAGTAACTACATAAGCCAGTAGCAGAGTCATTTATTCCCATCACCACACGCTGTAGACTTTCATGTGCCTGGCAGAGCAATGGTTTTGTTTGCATCATCGGCACCACGTGCACATAAGTAATGCGCTACACTGTGACACTGGACAGCTCAGTGTCACTGGGTGGGAGTTTTTCAGCTGTATGATGAAATGTTAGGGAAATACCATTGTCTGTCATTGATTAAAATATTGCTCTACAGTGTGTGCTCTGTATATATGTGTATAAATATATAATCAAAGTATGAATATTTAAATTTAAAAATTAAAAAAATTAATTCCTCTTGTTACTGTTTATTTCCAGGTGCTTCTCCCCCACCCACCATGCTGGCTTCGGCAGCACCTGTACTAAAATTAGACGTCCCCTCAAGGCCTCGAAAAGGTAGAGCTTGTAGGAATAACTGGAAGAAGGGGCCACAGCTAACTTGCTGTTAGGAGGCAGGGGTCAGAAGAGATGGGGACCGGGGACACGGCCTGGGAGGGCACATCTCCTCCCTGTCTTCCCTCCTCTTTCTGCTCCTCCGTCACTGCGGAGGGCCTTACAGGGTGTGGTCGCAAGTATGATGACTGCTTCTGCCAAGTGCCATCTGTCAGAAAAGCAGGCTGGTAAAAACACGACAGTGTGTCTCCACCCACCTATGCACTGCATCTGGCACTGTGCGACTTGCGGCTCTTCCCCGGAGTCAAAATAACCATGAAAGGTAAATATTCCGAATTAATTCAGGATACAGAAGCAGCCAGCAGCACAACTAAATCTGCTTGTGAATGAATCCCAAGCTGCTTCAGAATGGGCATGAACAATGGGCTTAATGTGTTTGAGGCAAATGGGAGTATTTTGAGGCAATGCATCTTTTACTGAAATAAATTTTTTAAATATAAACATTCACTGTAGTTTTCATCACTCATATTTCTAGCATGAAATTATTAATTACATGATATAATTACATGAATTATTGCATGTAGACAATAGATGCAGAAACAATTTTGACCACTTTTAATATATTTCTAGCATCTTTCTGAAGCAAGTCCATGCAAGACAAACTAAATACTATCTTCATGTCATGTTTTTTGCTTTTGTTTGTTTTGTCATTTTTGAGACAGGGAGGGTCTCACAATGCAGTTCAGGATGGCCGTGATGGCCGTGAACTCAGTTTGTAGTTCAGGATGGTCTCAAACTTGCAACAACCCTCCTGCCTCAGCCTCCCCCATGCACTATGTGACACAGATGTAACATCTCGTTTCCTTTTCATTCTAGGCACAAGTGACACTGACACCTGGCATATCTGAGTACCTTAGCAGTGAACCAGGGCCAAGCTGGACTGACCCCTCTCAGGTCCCGTCTGTGCGGGGAGGGGGCATTATTTCTCACTGCTTTAATTGGTTAGAATGCAAGATGAAGGAGCTGGGCACGATGGCACATGCCTGTAATACAAGCATTCAGGAAGCTGAGGCAGGAGGATCACTGTGAGTTCAATGCCAGCCTGGGCTACATAGTGAGACCTTGTCTTTAAAAAACAAATCAGCACTCCCACCCAGCATGCATTTTGGGTAGACTTATTCCTACTTCTGTCTGTGGTGCTTCAGCTTGAAGAGGGTAGAGTTCCTGTCTCTGAGATTAGATAGAAAATGAAATGCCTATGAATCCTCCTGAAATTCCGATAAAAAGTATATGCTCCAGACAGCCTGAGTTGAAAGCTAGAATACATTTTCTCATAGAAATAATCACCAGCTTCCCGGGGAAATTCATATAATCCTACTTCATCATAGCATTCTCAGTATAGTCCAGAAATTTCTTCATAATCCATCTACTCTGTTGTCATCTTTTTCATAGCTGGGTTTTTTCTTTTTTTGCCTATCAGATAAGGATGGATATGAGTCTGCTCTTCTTTCATGTTCTCTGACCTTCTCCACTCGAATCTACAAAATCCCATAAATGCAATCCATAGGAATGAAACCCAGTTAAGTGCGGCCAGGGGTTTAGCTCAGTGGCACAAGCAAAGTGCCTGCCTGGCAAACATGAGGTTATGAGTTTGATCCTTGATAGCAAAATTACAAAAAAACAAACAGCAGCAGCAACAGCAACCAAAAAAACACTGTTAACGGAGCTAGCAATTTAGCTCAGTGGCATAAGCACAAAGAAAGGAAGGAAGGAAGGAAGAAAGGAAGGAAGGAAGGAAGGAAGGAAGGAAGGAAACCCAATTAAGCCCAGCTGGTGAGTGCCTACGTGCCTCACCTCAGGGTGATGACATGGTGTGGGTATGTTCCGCGTCCCTTTCTTTTTCTTCTGGGCTCATGAATTTCAGATTCCATGCAAAGTGTGTAAAAGCCAGAGGCCTCTTATGCAGTGATGATCTACCACAGATGGACTCATTTATACATGAGAATTTTATTTGGAATGTTCAATTGACTAATGAGAAAAGAATCAATTGTTTATTAGGGAGGGATAAAGAACCCCAAATAGCCACATTCAGAAAAGAACCTCTGTAACAAATTACAGTCAAAATCCCAGAAGTCCAACACAAGGACTGCATCTTAAATGCTGTTAGAGAAAAAGAATAAATCACGCATAAAGGTAAATCCATTAAAATTATAGCAGGTCTCAATATAAACCGTAAAGACCAAAAGCACTTGGAGTAAAGGGTTTTTCAAGCCCTAAAAGAAAATAACTTCTGAGACATCAGAATTGAAAAAGAAATAAGGTAGTTCTACAACAAAGAGCACCTTAAAAATTCATGATCAAACCAATGCTTCCAAAAATTCTCAGTGATATCCAAAGACGAGAATGGTGCTAACAGTACCAAAGATCTAACAGAAGAAACACACCTGGCAGGGAGAGCAGGAAGTCAGAAGGGCGTGGGAGTCGGCAACAGAAAAAATGCAGTGACAGGATTAAGTCAGTAACTTCAGCAATAACTGTGGGTGGGAATGGTCTCAATTCTGCACTCAAAAGACACAGATTGAAAAGCCAGATCAAGAAACAAAATCCAACAATATGTTGTATACAAGAAACACATGTGAGCCAAAAAAAATTCATAGACTAAAACTCAAAACATGAAAAACAATATTCTATACAATGAGAATTCCCCTAAAAAAGCAGGAGTAGCTACCCTATTTTCAGACAAAGTGGACGTCAAGCCAAAACTGGTCATAAAAGGAAAAAACAAACAGACAAAAAAACCCACTATATATTGGTTAAGGAAACAATTCAATAGAGATACTGATTATAAACATACATGCCCCATCACAGGCATGCCCAACTTCATAAAATAAACACTACAGGACAGAAACATTGTGCGAGAAGAAATAAAAGAATACATAGGCACTCACAAATCACAAATCCTGATTATAACGAAGTAAGGAGAGGAGTGTCAACCAAGTATAAAAAGTTAGGCTGGGGATTTAGCTCAGTGGCATAAGCACCTGCCTGGCCAGCACATGGTCATGAGTTCAATCCCTGGTACAAAGAAAAAAAAAAAGTTATTTCTAAGGGTGTCTTTTCATACGAAGGTGAGAAATTTTTAAAGCTTCTGGGGGTAGACTACGGAAAAAGAATTGGTCATGTAGCAAGAACAACCCTGGCTTTTCCTGGTTGCTTTCAATTGTGTGTGTGTGTGGCTGTGTGCATGTGTGTGTGTGCCTGTGTGCACAGCATGGAAATTAAATCAGAGTTTCGTGTATGGCTGGCAAATGCTCAGCCACTCACTTTCCATTTCCTGTCATCTCCACAACTCCTCCAGCAGCTCAGAAATGCTTTCACAGGAGGGATTTAGGAGCGGCATCATGACTGGGGAGTGGTGGAAAAAGTTATCCTGGGCTGACTTTGCATTAACAACCACACAATTTGTACTTAGATTTTAGGTTACAGTAAACTAAAATAAAGCCTCTGAAAATTGTCTTCGATTTGTACTTTGAGAAAATGTCTTACATCCCCAGCACCACTTGACAAAACCAAGTCCATTGCTCTTGTCACATATATTTGTTTATTTGAGGAAAAAAAAATTTTTTTTTTGTCTTTTTGAAACAGGGTATTGCTGTACAGTTCAGACTGGGCTTGGGCTCACTTTGTAGCCCAGGATGGTCTCGAACTCAACAATCCTCATGCCTCAGCCTCCTGAGTGCTGTGATCAAGGCGTGTGCCACCACACCCGGCTGATACATGTTTATTTAAAGAGGTTCTGAAGATGTAGAAGACTCTGAAGAGGTCATTCCCCCTTCACCCTCATCTTTGACCTCAGCAGAGGGTCTCAGTTGCAATCTCCAAGAAAAAAGTGGATCCGCTGATCAGGAATTTCACTTTCCTCATCTGTGAAGTGGAGATAGTATTACCCAGGAGGCACAGTTCTTGTGAGGATTAAATGAGTTTTAACTCATAAAGCACTTAGATCAGCCAGTGGCACGTGGTAAAGCCCCAGACAGCACCTGTGATTATTTATTATCCCTGACTTCTCCCAGCAAATATTTAAATCTACCTACATTTGTACCCACCAATTTTCCTTTCTTCTTGCTGTTACAAATATCATGTCCTCTTGCAGTCTAAGCCACTTGTGCTTTGAGGATCTCAGCTTTCTCAGATTATGGTATTATTTCCCCTCACCTCTGTGTCTTTGCCATTTCCTTTCCATTGACCCACATCAGAAGTTACAAAACTAACCACCAGGCTCATCTGCTTCTCTACAATAATAAACTCATATTTTCAATAAACGTTTTTCACTTTCTTGACAGAGACGGTTCTTTCCTACTAGGTACAAGATCTTTGCATCTCCCCATGTTACTCAAGATTCCACATCATTCGGTGTTCAGAGACTAATCTTTCTTCATAACAAAGCCCCAACTCCCAACATCTGTCATGAAATTACTTTTTCTTGTACAGTAGAAAAGCCTTGGCTAGTGTTAAGGTCTGGATCTTAAACGTCCCCCAAAAGCTCATGTGTTAAAGATTTCTTCCCCAGCTGCTGGGGCTGCTGGATTATGATGGAAATTTTAGAGCAGGACCCAGCTGGAGGAAGTAGGCTGTTGGGCCTGTGGCTTTAACTACTGGGACCCAGCCCTCTCCTCTCTCTGCTTCCTGGCGAGGTGACCTTCAGCCATAACACAACCAATGGGCCATTCACAATGGACTGAACCTTCTAGAAGAAATCATAAGCAAAAAAATATCTTTCCTTTTTCTTTCTTTCTTTCTGTTTTAAAGGCAGAGTCTCACCCTGAGGTTTGGGCTGGCCTTGAAACTCACTATGTGTCCCTGGCTGGCCTTGAACTCACAGCAATCCTCCTGCCTCAGACCCACAAGTGCTGAGATTATTATAGCTCTTTGCCACCACACCAGCCCTAAACCTTTCCTTCTTTTAAACTGTTTATCTCAGGTGCTTTGCCACAGCAACAGAAAGCTGACTAAACTGCATGGCAACTGGGAGGTCTTGGATTTAATCCCCAGCACTGCAAGAGAAAAAAAGGATTATTTCCTACTCAAATTCATGAAACTCCAAACTCTGTCTGCTCCATGTCACCCCAGTCAGGGGCCTAGCCTTGCAGAGGAGCTTTGCCACTTGGAATCATGCTGGCCAGAGCGACGGTGGGAAGGAGACAGGCTGAGAAAAAGGAAAACTCTGCTCTGTCGCTTAAATGTTTCCCTCTGAAAATACACATCACTTCCCTGCCACGGGCCCAGAGCAAAGCCGTTCACCTGGGCTACCTACCTTCAAGGGGCTGGAGGAGCAGAAGCCTCGGCAGAAGGAGGGAACAGCAAACAATGCCAGGTGGAACGCACGGCATCACCTTGGCACGCTGACATTAGGATGAAAAGGCTGCTCTGTTCTCCTGTCAATCTTTATTAATACGTTTTCTGACAAATTATCTATCTATACAGTTTGCAAAACATCCAATGCTTGCAAAGCTCAGGGTGGTGGTGCAAGCATGTAACCTCAGCATTTAGTAGCCCGAGGCAGGAGGACTGCTGGGGATCTGAGGCCTGCCTGGGCTACACAGTGAGTTCAAGCCAGTCAGAACTACAGGGTAAGACACTATCACCAAAAAAAAAAAAAAAATTGTACGAAACAAAGTGCTTGCAAAAAATTTCAGAGCTATACCCAGAAATTTTGCCTACTATAATGTAATACATGTTTAGGAAAAAAAAAACTATTCTCTGCCCCTGCTACTGTGGATCATGACTTCTACCTCAAGGGAGATAAAGGTGTCAAATCCTCCCTGTATTTTGTAAAGAAGCATATACAGAAATCAAAATGTTTGTTACCAAGGGAGATCATGCTAGACTAGGGCTTTCTAGAGAGTCTGAACTTGCAACGTAATTTTTAAAGATTAAAACAAGAACTAAGAAATCTGTTACATACAGGCAATGAATGAAAAAGACATGAAAAAAATAATTGGAATAAATCAAACTGCTCAGACTTTTTTAAATATACTTTTGACTTTTGAATATAAGTTTTCAAAATAATAAAATCAACTGGGTTCAGTGGCACATGCCTATAACCCCATTACTTAGAGGCTGAGGCAGGAGGATCACCATGAGTTTGAACCCAGCCTAGGCTACAAGTGAGATCTTTCTCAAAATAATAATTAAATCAGCCAGTGTAGTAGCACACACCTGTGATTCCAGCTTCTCAGGGAACTGAACCAAGATGATCACAAGTTCAACCACAGCCGGGCAACTTGGTGAGTTTGTGAGACCCTTTCTCAAAAACAGGGTTGGGAATATAGATCAACACAAGAAAGGGCTGGGGATTTAGCTCAGCAGCACAAGCACCTGCCTGGCAAGTGTGAGGTTGTGAGATCAAGCCCCAGTACCAGAAATAAATACATTAAATTGAATAAAAATTCCTTAAGTAGCCATATAGATTCCCTCCCCACTTCACCCCCTCAGTTGGGGACAGAACTCAAGCCCTTGAATAGGTGAGTGCCCTACCACTGAGATACATCCCTACTCCTATTTTTTTGTTTTGTTTTGCTTTGCTTTTTGAGACAGGGTCTCATTATGTAGTTCAGGCTGGCCTTGAACTCACCATGTAGCCTTAGGCTGGCCTCAAATTCATGGCAATCCTCCTGCCTCAGCTGGATTTTACAAGGAGGTGCCACTACAACCAGCATCTCAATATTTTTAAAATAGGATTGAAAATCAAAACTCCATGAAATACTTAAGGATTAATTAAAATAAATATATTTACTATGTACATCTTCCAAAAATATAGTAGGAGAAATTTCAAAAGTCTAAATAAATGCAGGGGTATGTTTTATGCATAGATTAGAAGCCAACATTAACTGACAGTTTTCTCCAAATTGATTTAAAGACAACTCCAATCAAAATCTCAGTATCTATGTGTATAAAACGACAAACTGATTCTAAAACATATAAGGAAACAAAAGAATAAGAAAAATCAAAAACAATCTTGCAAAGCCTAAAGAGTTGGAGAATTTAAATCATCAGGTTTCAGGCTTAAAGTTACTGTAATCAACACAATGGAGCACTGCAATCAATATATGCATGCAGACTAATGGAACGCATTGGACAATTGGGGAACAGAGACACAAAAAGCCAGGGATGCCAGTGCATACCTGTAACCCCAGCTATTAGGGAGGCTGAGGCAGGAGGAGGGCCACTTAGAGCTGAGCCCAGGCAAGTTAGTGAGACCTTGTCTCAAAATAGAAAGGGCTGAGGATGTAGCTCAGTGGTAGAGCACTTGTCTAGGATGTGCAAGGCCCTGTGTTCAATCTTCAGCATTGCCCCCCACAAAAAGACCCACTTTTATACAGTAAACATGTTGTTTAAAAAAGGATTATGGGGAAAGGGTAGTCTTCTCAACAAATGGTGATAGAACTAGATGAACAGAACAAACTCCAAAACTTATCTTATACCATACCTAAATGTACAATCTAAAACTTCGTAAGACAACATAGAATGGAGTTATATGACACAAAGGCCAAATTTTTTTAAATAGTACACAAAAAATACAAACCATTACATAAAGGCTAGTAAATTAGACTTCAAGTGAATCAAAGATTTCTGTTCAAGATATGGTAAAGAAAATGAGAAGGTAAAATATAACATGTATTTTGAAACAGAATATACCGTAAGCTCTTACAGTTTTTAAACAGTGAATTTTAAAATGAACGACATCTTCCATAAGCCATGCTAATGACCAATAAACACACAAAAAGATGCTCACTATCACTAGTCACTGGGGAAATACAAAAGAAAGTCCGAATACAGTAACAGGACACATCTGTTAGGGGGGTTAAAATTAAAATTCGGACAACACTCAGTGTTGAGAAAGAAAGGACAACAGGACACTTGCATACTGATGGTGGAGATGGTGCAGGCACTTTAGAGAACAGTTTAACAGTTTCTTATGAAATCAGACACATGCACACTCACTGTATCACAAAGCTAGGCATTTCTCCTAGAGCAATGACTACATGTCCCCACAAAGAGTCACACTCAAATGTTCCCAGCAACCTGATTTGTAACAGCTGGGAACAATCCAAATGTCCACTACACGAAGTGTGGTTTGCACATGCAGATAGAGGCATACAATAACTCAAAAGGGAGGAACTGCTGATAAACACAATGCAG